TGATAGTCAGTGGAAGAGGTAAAGGCCTGGATCAGGAAGAGTCATGTGGGCCTGGAGAGGTGAGAATGATTCAAGAGATGGTTTAGGAATAGAGTCAGCCAGATGGGGTGATGTGGAGTACAGAGAAGTGAGGGGTCCAACATGACTCACAATGAATCATGACCGGGGTGCCTGGGTGCCTTAGTCGCTTAAGCGTCTGGCTCTTGGTTTCGGCTTAGGTCTTAATCTCAGGGTTGTGAGATCGAGTCCCCCTGTCAGGCTCCATGCTTAGCACAGAGTCTGCTTAGGATTCTCTCTCTCCCTCTGCCCCTCCCCCTAAAATAAATAAATAAATCTTTAAAAAATAATGAATCATGACTTGCTGGAGAGAGTGGGTAGACAAATATCATTCCATCAGTCAGGATAGAGAATATGGAAGGAAGAAGGGGGGAGGTGGGAAGGAGAGGAAAGCTGAGGTGAAGATGAGTGGATTTTGGACATAGTGAGTTTGCAGTACCTATGAGCTCCCAAGAGAAAGGAGGTGCCCAAGAGGGAGTGGAAATCAGGACTGGGTCAGGGAATTCCATCCTGGAGCCACTAGTTTGCCTAGCGAAAGGGTATGATGTGCAAAGGGATAAGTGCCAAGCACAGAATGCTGGGGATGCCAGCCTTAAGCAGGAGATAGACAAAGAACCATGGACAGGCAGAGAAACAGAAGTGAGAATAGGGTTATAGGGACCAAAGGAAGAAAGTATTTCACAAAGGAGGAACTGGGCAACTGTGTCAAAATGTGCAAAAAAGTCAAGCAACATAAGGAATGGGAAATATCTACTAAATCCCATTGTATGAAGCCACTTGGCCCCATGGCTTGTGGTGTTTCACTGGAGAGAGAAAGGAAACTGGATTGCATTGGCTTGAGAAGTCAATGCGATGGTGGAGAGAGAGAGATCATGATGATAGACAACTCTACTGAGATGCTTGGTTGAACAAGAAAAATGAAGAAAATTTTCAGAATGTCCCCCAAGGTATCTTTAAATGCATTTGTATATTTCCCTGAATCTGAAAGAAACAACTCCTTGATATCTGCTTCATCCAGGCAGAAAGATCACCCAAGGGACAATTTGTCCCTACCCATACAAAAATTATAGTCTCCGGAGGAAGATAAGTGCTTACCACTATTTTCTAGAGAAGACTGGTCCTAAGAAACATTACTTTGTCATTTAACAGAAGGCAAAAATCCCAAACACATTTTGATTTAAAAGAAAACTATAGATTCCTAACGCTGGATCCTTCATATGGCCATTTTTGCCTTGCAGTGGCAAAATCTTTGCCTTGCAGCTCTGCTAATATTGTCTTTACCATGTCTTTAACATCTGTTCTTTCTCCTTCTTTCCCACGGTCTTTGAAACAAAACTGTGTTTATTTTTAAGCATTGATTACGAATTTTTAAAGTTCACATTTAAATGTCTGGACAATTTTTATCCAAAAGAGGGCGCAAATTTCTCATGAAATATAGTACAGTATTTCACAAAATTCTCTGGCTCCTAGTCGTATTTAAATTTCACAGCTGCTGTGATTTAATGCAGAAACATTATTTCTGTGGCATATGCATATGAATTAAGTCCCATTGTGTGAGTGCTAATTAAGAACCTTTTGCATCTTAAAGAGTAGTTTCAGAGAAGAGCCAGACTAAGTTGGAGCCAACATTTTTCTATTTTGGGTAGCCAAATCAAATTAAGATAGGCATTTTAAAATTAAACATTAAATGGGATTTAAAAAACCCAGTTTGTTTACAATCTTCTAATTTTAGGGTGTATTTCCATTCTACCACGGCTCAAAGAACAATTAGTGAAGTAATACAGTTCAGACCTTGTTTGTGGGTAGTTAATAGTGAATCAGGGGGGTTTTGTTTTGTTTTGTTTTGATCACAGCTGAAATTGTTCACATTTTAAATACCCAGTATGTATGCCTGTTCTCACATACAAGAAGCCATATGACTGGTGATCTCAGCTCTTCCTTGAGGTTGAATCTCACCATGACTTGGATACATTTTCTCAGGGAAATGATATGCCAAAGGTGTGCTGAAGTTCTGGTGGGCTTCCTACATGCAAGTTATGGAAATGGAAGTGCAAAGAGGAAGTCATTTTTTCTTTTTATTACTATTATTTTTTTAAAGTAATCTCTACACCCAATGTGGGACTTGAACTCATGACCCCGAGATCAAGACTCACATGCTCTACAGACTCATGAGCCAGGCAGGTGCCCCAAGGAAGTAATTTTTTCAATGGTAGTAACGTACTATAGATATTTCTTACTTACCAGAAATCCCCTTAGCCAAATTCTGTACTTAAGAGGTATAGATTAAGGCAGAACCTCACTCCACAGATGGCACTTCCAAATCTGAAAATCCTATGCATTTATGAGCTTACTCTTGCTTCTATAACTGGCTTCTCTATCTATAGTCCCTAACTGTCTGGTAATTTGCTGGTGGAAGTAACAATGAACACTTATCTAGGGGAAACACCATTTTGATTGGCTTCTAGCCCTCAGAATGAAACCAACTATGTATGAGTAGAGAATCACTCAAACTTTATTTGTGAATTGATTGGACACTGAGGACTATGAACTAGGACTCAGACAACTATATCCTCCAATGGCAACATGCAAGTAGCACTAAATGAGAGCAAAAGCTAAATTCATGGTCCCTATTTATGCACCGGTCTGCAATGACATTGCCGGCTGCATGTGGATAAGGAACCAACAGGACAATGAGAACCAAGCATTATTTCCAGTTTTCATTTAATTACAAATCTAAGACCCGTTGCTAAATTATTTCTAAGAATTACCAACAAGTGCTTGTCCTTACCCTTCTTAGGTTATCACAGAGTGCTATAATTTGATTTATCACACTGAGTTCTGCTTGTGCCTGGCCCAGACTTCCCTTCATTATGCACACCATCCAATAGCAAGGTCGATGTGTGTACTCATCTGGAGATTCCCATGCTGAAGGAGAAGTCCCGCTTCCTCCTTTTGTGACTCTAAGATCTAATCTCATCATCTTTAGGGCACAGCGCAGACCACATTTCTTTTCTGGATTTGGGGGGCCCATGACTCCTCCTTTTCCTCTACCCTTGCTATAGCCAACACCCTTGTTATACCCCTTATGGCAACACCCCTAAGCCCCTTAGATTTCATTCCCTGTAGATTCTACCAAGAAGATGCTTTTAAAATACTCAACTTGCTGGGGCGCCTGGGTGGCTCAGATGGTCAAGTATCTGCCTTCGGCCCAGGTCATGATCCCAGGGTCCTGGGATCGAGCCCCGCATCTGGGCTTCTGGCTCAGCAGGGAGCCTTTTTCTCCTTCTCCCTCTGCCTCTCTCCCTGCTCATGCTCTCTCTCTCTCTGTATCTCTTTGTTTCAAATGAATAAATAAAATCTTAAAAATAAAGTAAAATAAAATACTCAACTTGTTGGATGATGCCAAATTTTGTCTTGCTTTTCAATGAGAAGCCAGATCAATCAACTACCAAAAATGTTTAAGGATAGCTATGTGAGAATGGAGGGTATGAAGGAGTCAAAGACACGAACACATCCTATAACAATACGGAAGAGAGACTGAGGGGGCTGGTGATAAGATTGCATTTTGAATCTGTTTTTGCATTCACTATTTATATTGAGACATTTGGGAATATAGCATTTTTTCAATATGTCTTCTCTGAAATGACCATTTTCCAGGTGGTACATGACTTTTAAAGGCTTGCCACAGTCACTGGTATAAAACTCATATACTGAAATCAATTTGTTTAGAAAATGAATCTGATTTTATAATAAAAGTTAAAAATTTCAGTCAGAAACTGTGCAGCCGGAAGAAGGCTATTGCATTATATAAGGGCCTTAATAATATATAAAGGTAAATGGGTAAGAAAAGCTAACTACGAGATGGCTTAATTTCTTCTTGATGTTATATTTTCTACTTTTCCAGAATATTATCATGACAACTCTTGCATATTCCTTTTTTTTTTTTTTTTAAGGAAAACTGTGAAAATAAGAAGATGCTCATTATTTTGAGCTCAAATGCTTATGATTCTTTTGGTTCTTATTCAGCTTTCAAAGGATAATCTTGATCCTTTAACAAACATTTGCCTTTAAGAACTGTCTACCACTGAAATCCAGCAGGATATATATTAAGTTACAAAACACTACCTCTTAGTTGTTAGTCTGGATTAGATAGAAAACACATGGCATATTTGAAAATATCGGAAAAAGCTGAACAAAGATTAGGTGCTGGCTAGTGCTTCTGAATGAAAAATGATATTCTTAAAGTTGGCTCCCTTTGTTACCTGTAAAAATATCATCAAACCTCTAACTTAAGAGCTTGAGTAATCGAGTTAAATTTCGTGTTTGTTGGAATATTGTGTCTTTCCGTGGACACTGACAATATCACTTTACTACCTATGACACTTTTTATTTAGAACTGGAAGCGATATGCAATCCTTTTAAACCTTGGAGGTTTTCTCTCTCTCAAATAAGTAAAATCTTAAAAAAAAAAGTAAAGTTTGGAGGTTTGGGCACTTAGGCTCTTTTGAGTGTGTTATGTTTAATAAAGCTTGTTCACAACCATGGGCGTAGGAAGGTCCTTGCAGTTGACAAGTGCGGGATTTGGAACGCCGTGTGGAATAACCCCGTGGCACTGTGACCCCTCAGCCACTCCCACACAATGAGAACTCGGCAGCTGTGCATGATAAACCTGGTTGCAGCATTAATCTGCTGTGGGACCTTCTACAAATTACTTAATTCCAGCCGTGAGAATAAACATTGACACCAATGCCCTAGCATAGATCTAAGGGAATCAGGCTGTTTGCCCATAAAACTGAAACTCGCTTGGCCTTTCCCTCCTAACATTTGGGACAGGGAGGAATTTGGAATGACCAGGCTGTAGGCCACTGTTCTTTGCTTCCCATTAAAGAGGCAAATATAAGCAAGTGACCATGAGTAGGGGGGAGTGGGCAGCTGGGGTAAGGATGAGCAAAAGGTAAGTGAAATTTGAGAATGAAGGGTAAATCCCTGGAGCGGTGAGGAAGATTTCTTGGTGATTCTAACTCACCTGCTGGTTCCCCATGTGGATGGACCACAACTGCATCACACTCTAGCCATTTGTGTTCCGTTTGAACCTTTCTTTCTCTCCTATTCCTCTTTCCCTTTGACTCTCCCATTCCTTCTTATTTTCCCTTTGTCAACACTGTTTGCAGGGAAGGAGGAAACAGTATTCTCCTACTGAATTTTTTATTTCCTCCTTCTGTGTTTAGTAGCCAGGCACAATTCTACAGAATCTCTTCAGCCCATTCACAATGGGCCAAAGTAAACGTAAATTAACAAAGTAGTGACAGAGCTGGGACTGGGTGCCAGGTCCTTGAAATGCCAGTCCAGGGCTGTTTCCATACATTGCACCCGAGTACGATGATAAAAAACCAAAACACGACAAAAAACTTCCAACATTGCACTGACTTTATGTTTTTCATCTGTAAGAATGATGTTCTGTTTGTTACTTTACAACCATAGGAATTAGGGCAGGAGGAGGATGTGATTGTATTCCAGCTCCATTATTTCATCTGTGTAAGGATTATTTGATTTAGAATATGAATGTATGTGCTTTAAAAGTCAGTTTTATTTTATTTATTTTTTTTAAAGATTTTATTTATTTATTTGAGAGAGAGAATGAGAGAGAGAGA